AGCTATTAGTAGCTTTAAAGTAGCTTACTACTTTACTTACTACTTATTAGTCTTAGCTAATATAGTATTCTTTATAGTACTCTAGTAAACTACTAAATTACCTCTTTTATATAATATAGAAAAATACTTAAATAATAGCGTTACTAACGCGCGTTAAAAATATAAAAACTTTTAACTTTTTAAAGTATTCTTATTAAGAAATATCTCTATTATTATTACTTATTATTACTACTTAGTTAGAGCTTTAAGCGCTTTTAGAGAAAAATATATAATAGTTCTAGACTTTAGGCTTTATTAGCCTAATATTAGGCTAACGCTTTTACTATATATATATTTCTACTAAGCTCTATAAGAGCTTCTTACTATAATAACTTTATTATTTTATATATATTTATTATCTAATCTTTTATAAAACTTTTATAATAAGCTTATAAAGCTTAAAGTGCTACTTTAAAAGCTATTCTTAGTATAGCTATAGCTAATATATACTAAGTAGTACTTTTTTAAAATAATAAAAAAAATTAAGTAGTAGCTAGTATTAGTAAATATAGTAATTAATTACTATAGTAAGTAATTTTAGTAAAAGTAGAAATAAAAAAAAAGCTAGTATTATAAGTTAATTTTATAGCTTTATAATATTTACTATTTATATAGAAAGGTAGCGTTATAAAAGAAAAAAATCTACTTCTAGACTAGCGCCTTAGTAAATAAAACTAGAATTATATTAATATATTAAGAAAGAGTTCTAAACTTGCTATACGCTAATAGCATTATGTATTAGCCTTGCAATGCCTACTGGGAATCCGCGAGTGAGGGTTACTGGCTAGCAGATAGTACACTCGAGTAAACGTAGGCGGGTTTCCGAAGAGAACATCTAATTAACACACATATTTACCGAAAACTGATACTAACGCTCGACCAAAACATCGCTCTAAGGGGGTATCGACGACAAATTCTATGCGAATAACAAACTCCTCATACTTTTCACACTCTCCACACCTCCCACCACTCCGTCTCTTCTACCTCCTAAAGCTCCAGCCCCTCTTCCTCGCCCCAATGTCCGTCTGCGATCTCTCCAGCGTCGGCATAGCCGTAGTCGTAGGATCACTTTCCCTCGGCCTCGTCAGCGTCCTCGCGCGACTCCAGGCCCTGCCCCTCATACTCTCGCCACCATCAGCCAACTCTCTTTCCCGCTGTCTCCTTTGTTGCTCTTCCGCACTCTGTTGTTTCCATCCACCTTCAGTCCTATCCTCTTGCTTCTCTGGCCACAAGATCTGGTGAATAACAACAGCGCGCACGTTCATGAAGATGACGAAGAACCACATCATGACGAGGGCGATGGTCATTGCGCAGCCGATGAGAGCGATGGCTCTGTTATCGTTGAGGGCGCGGGCGATGGCGAAGGTCGATGTTGTGAGGGCCGTGTTGGGGAAGATGAAGGAGTACCATGTCATCGCGAAGTCCATCTTTCCCCTTCTGGCACACGACCAATGAGCACCGACGCTGACGAAGAAGAACCAAAGTGCGAGACCCCAGAGCCACAGTCCCATGTAGTTTGCGCAGATCATGCCGACCTTGCCTGCGAGCTCGCCGTTTCCTTCGCCCATGAAATCGCTGGGTACGGTCTTTGGGAGCTCTTGGCCCATCATGATGACGCCGGCAATGGTAAAGCCAGACGGGCCGACGGAGATGAACATACCCGGGCGGAGGGATTCCTTAGGAAGCTTCTGCGTCATGAGACGGTAGATGAAGGCGGCGTAGATCATGAGCGACACCAAGAAGCCTATGCCTTGGATGACATACCCAGTCAGGATGATGGTAAGAGAGATAGTAGGATCTTCAACCTTGGGCGCGAGATTTCCAGCATGGGGTCCGATGATGAGCAAAGGGTATGCTGGGAAGATCCAAATGGGCGTCATCTGGGAAATGGTAAAAGTCGTGGTAGACCACCTACGATTGTTAGCATACTTATCAGCATACGATATGAGAGAGGAACGAACATAAGCAGGTAGATGCCAATGGAGAAGCAAACAGCAAGACCACAGTCCATCCAAAACAACACAATCATGCATTGCTCCAGCCACTCTCCCACGCCAGCCATGTCAACTCCAAACTGACTGATGTTGATCAGAATGATACCAAAACTGACAATGGCGGCGGGGATGAACAGTGACTCCGTGGGATGCAGGAATGACGCCTTGAACGTTCGGGGATAGAAGTAGAACCGGCAGGAAATCATGGCGACATTGAACAGGAACAGAACGATGTTGAGGATGAAGAAGATGCATCCAAGCGCGTAGATGCCGTGGAAGCGGAACGGGACAGTGTACAAGACGTTGGCGATACCACCAGTGGCCATGGTAAGACAGAACCAAGTCCAGGTGAAATGCCGTATCCGCTCCTTGAAGCTTAACTTCGTCCTCTTCTCCGGCACATCCGAATTTTGAACGCTGCGCTTTGTACTTCTGCTGGCGACAGCAGCCAATGCCGTCGGGTTCTCGCGTATGGAATCATCAGTCTTCTCCGTCGAGTTCGTGTCGATCCTCTCGTTGTCGTCGCCATGGTACTCTATCTCTTCCTCTTCGCGCTGAATCTGCTTCTGCACGTCGTTGGAAAGGCCTTCGGGCTCATCGCGACTCAGGGGCGTTGCCAATGTGAGGCTGGGATCATCGAAGGGATTCTGGTTCGTCGGATCCGGATGCGGCGTCGCGACATTCGGGTGCGAGCGCCATTGCAGTCTCTCCTCTGCACTCGACACCGAGGCGGTGGAAGAACTCGACGCCGGTCTGTGGACGACACTGGAAAAAGGCGGAAAGCTGTCGTTAGTAGGCAAGCGGCCTATCGCGAGGTTCTGCGTGTTGCGGTTCATGATGCCAAGGTCGAGCCGCAGCGGTACATGCGGGGCGAGCGAATTGGCAGCTGGAGTCGGAAATTGTGGTTCAGCAATGACCGAATGATGTCACACCCCTTTTTCGCAGTTGCACGTGTCGAAATCTTCGACTCGACGCCAAACACAAGAAAAAGACTGCACAAAAGCCCCTCAAGACGAACTTCTGGATTCTGAAACAAAAAAGTTCGGCGATAAGAAACCCTATGTACCTGCACGCGCCTCCCATAAGAACACCGCTACAACAGTTTTTGACCAACCCCCCACCCCGTCGATCTGCCGCACTTCCAGTCGCGACAAACCAGAGGCCAGCAAAGTTGCGTCGACATGGCCATAGCGGCCACACCATCTCGGCTATCTAGCCGGTGCCCTTGGAAGACGCGTTGTTAGCGGCACTGCGGAACATAACCCAAGAGCAAACCCAAGCGTTTCAGAACTGTCCATCTGCAGGTTGCCGTCACCATCATTTGTGTGGCTGTGTTCTACACCCGTTCCTTCCGCGTCACTGGCGGGAATAGTTCGTCTCCATGATAAGGATTCGACGTGCCAGTGGGTTCTCGGACGTTCTGACGTTTCGGCTGGCCAGGGGCCGACCCGGCCGAGAACTACTGCCCAACACCAAATTTCAAACTATCAAGTGGCCCAACATAAGCACTTCTACAAATTCAGCTCTGACAGTCGTTGGTGTTTTGCCGGGCATTACTCCGGAATACGACAAGCAGACTCACTAGCCAACATTTCGAGGTCAATGACGCGCTGGACCGTACAACTCGTAGCACGTCCGTTGCTTTTGAAACCATTTTTCTCTACAGTCAAATGTTGATCTCACGGTTATTACGGCTGAAGATCTCCTCACGATTCGTTTACCACGTCACGTACGTTCCTTGGAGCTGGCAAGAACGGCATCTTCGATTGCGACTACACTGCGGAGACCGTTAGCCTACAAGTCTGTCCTTAGTTCCGATCCCTACGCGTGATGTACGGAGACATGTATCCGAATGTACATATTCCGGACCTTCGATTCAGACTTGTAAAAAGATTATCGCTCTGTCAACAGCTTGTAACCGAGATGCAACGTCGAACTCGCTGCAGCAATTTGACTTCACAACGAATACCATACCATAAGTTATACATTACCAGCATGGAGCATGGTGACACAACAGGAAGCTAAGCACGGTAACCTACTCCACTTTTACCCGTCAAAGAGGGTACCGTCTTTACAATGCCGAGAAATCTGCGTTATATACTTCACGGACAAGAATCGGCATATAACATATCAACTCCAGAATTTAGTCTAGACCACTGAATCCGTACAGCTGGTAACCATAGTCCATCTCGTGCCGTTGTTCCGCCTGGGTACTGGCAAGCACGGCAGAGACGAGAACGAATCCGTTCTACAAATGGTACACATGTAGATGATCTAGATCCCACTCGTTCTATACATTCCCCGGCACATGTTACCGCAGCTTCTTCATATCCACAAATCACGTTTGCATCGCGGGCAGTGAGCGTTTTATCGACCCTCGAGAGTACTAGACCCAGTCTTTTCGGATCCTTCCATGCGTGTCCCCACGTAAAGCAACGTCATAGAAGACCCTTTGTGCATTGTCAACAGTTCATGCAGACATCAGCGTTACTGACGGGCTAACTAGTCAGACCCTGTGGCGTATACTGCATCTTGGACGGTAAGCACGGCAGGGCAAGATACCAAAGGTAGCATTCTATCCGCTTACCTTTTTCTGACATGTGAACGACGTGTATGACCAGTAATGTATGTGTTCAATGCATAAATATCTACGCCATCTAACCCGTTTTCAACACCACTGCAAAACACCCACATATTCATATACAAAACTGATTATAAGGTAGTAGTTCTTCATCATTATAGGCACAAGTTACACATCCCGCAACACCAAAAGCACCACTGCAATGCCGCTGGAGTTGAAGAAGGAGAAAGTTCTCGTAATGTTACACGAAACTCGTCCACGAAGAAAGCCAAGACCCATAACTCCACGCAAAGTCCCATACCATGTCACACCATGCCCATGCCAACGCTAATGCTACCAATAAACACCCAATGAGACACCCGTTCCACTCTCTCTTCGAGAAAAGCCTACCAAAAACTACACCACCCAATATAATGCTGACAAAGATTCTCCAAATTCGTCGCCTCCTTAATCAACCGATCGACCTGCATCTCGGTCCTCAACTCCTCACCCTTGCCAAAGTCCTTACCCGTCAACTTCTCCTTAACACGACTGAGGACCTGCAAGGCGCGTGCATTCTGCACTTCCTTTGCGTCGACGTCGTTGTTCTGGGGTGGGGCGATGGAGGAGCGGTGGCGGGGGCGACCGACGATGCTGGGCATTTGGTGGGGGTCGTTGGGGTTGGGGTTTGCGGGGTCGGCGACCATGATGGATTGGCGGCGTTCAGAGGGGTAGTTTGGCTCCGGGGAGGTGTCGCGGTGGTTGAGGCGCCAGGTTAGGAGGGGGTCGTGGATGAACTGTTGGGTTGGTGGTTAGTAGATCAAATCAAACATGTGTGAGCATGGGGTAAGGAAGGGGACTTACAGCTTCAAGCACAGCCATGACACTCTCCTTGTTGCTCCTCAACACGCGCATGACGTGCTCGCAAGTCGTCCGGTAGCTACCCTCGATATTACTAACTTCCATGGCATACGTCAACATGCGCGTGAGACGGAACGGTACGCGTTCCGGGTACTTCTCCCGGTGCATGGCTACTTCGAAACAGTCGCCGAAATCAATGTGAATAATGTTGCCGGTGACGCGGTCCAGCATCAAGTTACTAGGGTGGCGATCGCCGAGACCCAGAATGTAACCGACCATGGACATGACGGCGAGAGAACGCGTGTAGTTTGTGCGGCGATCAAGCCAGGCTTCTGAGGATTTAGATTTGAGCCACAAGACGCGGTAGAGATCCTGGCCTGTTGTGTTGTCGAGCGCGTAGCCAAAGACTTCAACCTTTTGCATGAGCGTGAGGCAGTCGTAATCAGGCGCCATCTGCAGCATGATGCGGTGCTCAATGTTGAGGAGAATCTTTCTACTATCGCGGTACTCGCGGATGAGCACATGCAGAGTGTCGCTGTTAGGGACCCAACCAAGCAGACCGGATTGCGTACTAAGCGGGACCGCGGCGTAGCGTTGGATATTAAGGTGTCGCTTACGAGACTCCACATCGTTGGAGAGCAGCGTGTTGCAGAGACCGAAGAGTTGCATGACACGCTCGTCTTGACGAATGTCTTCGTGGCCCTTGAGGACATGGGTGTGTGCTTTCCCGTCGCTTCCGCGCATTTCCAGCTTCCTGGGTCGCTGCTTGGACTGGATGACGGATGCAACAGGGTCAAACGAGATGATGCGGATAACCGGCTTGCCAACCTGGTACGTTCCAGGAACAGCAAGTTCAAGGTCATGCGCGTCCTTGAGCTTTGGTGAGACATACTGCAACTCAAGCGTCATCAAGGACGGCAATTGACGAGCGATCTTGCGGAACACCTGGTAGTAGAGATCCCATGCCTGGTTGAGGTCGCCTATTTCACCGGATGTCCTGAATGTATTACACCAGTCCCGGGCTTCTTGGAGTTCGCGACCAAATGATTGGATGAATGAGATTTCACGTAGAGTCTCAGGTCCCTTGTCGAGCATCGCATGGAGTGGGGCGAGAGTAGCAAACATGCCGTCGATGTTGTGATCGCCAAAGTAGAGCCTACTGGCTTCCTCAAGACCCTCATGCCATTGCTCATGCCAGAGCACAGCAATACGAATGAGTTCGTGACTCACAAGATCTGCTTGTTCGACCAGCTTCGGCGAGTGCTCGCGCATGGCCTCCATGAGTTCCTTAGCGGATCGCTGACGTCGCGATACATCCGACTTCATCGAGACAGTCAATGGGAAGACCAAAGCCTGAGGATGTGCCTTGCCGACTTCGATAAGCAGCTGATGAATCGATTGCCGAACCACGGCGTTGGGTTGGTTGACCCTAGCAAGCAATTGGGGAATGACTTCGAGCCATGTGTCGATTGGCACAGACTTCGTGCCCTCTGTGATGGTGCGGTTGACGCCTTCCCGTCCACCATAGCTGAACCATAGGGTAAGCAACCTCAGCGTATCCTGCAACGAACTAGTTGAAGACAGTGCGATTGACTTGAAGAAGCCCTGGATAGCCGGGATGACGTGATCGTGGATAATGTTATTAGGTACTTCAGTGGCCTCCCGGTCAGACTTGGATGTGATGGAGTTGATGACTTCGAAGTTGGCAAGAGCCCAAGCGTGCCAGGCCTTGTACCAGTCCTTGTTGTAGCGTGTGGCAGCCGCATAAGCGGCTAGGATCTCGTGAACGAACTCGTGCTCCCACTCGCCGTCTTGGAGTTCTTGCTGCCAGTCACCTTGCTTGAGGTAGCATTTGGCGAGTAGGCGATGGCTCTCGGCCAGTTCAGTAGGTGAGGCACCTATGGACGACCCGTTTAGCATGCTTGAACCATTCATACCATTGACTCCACTGTGTCCATTGGTGGCAGCAAAGGGGTTGATGTTCGTGAACATGTGCTGACCATTGGACATACCGTTCATCCCATTCTGTCCCATCATCGGGTTGGTCGCAGCCCTAGTGCGCATCGCGAGATCCTCAGATAGTCGTCCGGTGAAGTCCTTCATACTATCAAGAGCCTCCTGCTTGAAGTTCTGATCGGCCCACATGTACTTGTAGGTCGTGTATGCGACTGGGTGCGAGATCTCATGGGCGTTGTTGCGGACGAACTCAACCACAGTGCTGTCGCCAGTGCTCTCGATGTCGAGCAACTTCTGGAGCGCCTTGTTCGCGAGGTTCATCCTGTTGCTCTTGCGGCAAAGATTGGTATACTTGATCCACATATCCGTACCCTCCTTTGGTGAGATGACGAGCTGTCGGACCTTGATCATGCGCTGCCAGACCTCAGGGTTCGGTTGCAGTCCTCTAAGCCGCTTCATCCAGGTCTTGCGCATGCTGCGCTGCTTCTCAAGATTACCCTCGTTCTGCTTGTACTGCATGATCTCCTCGAGCTCTGCCAGCATCTGAACACGAATCATCGGCAAGTATGCGCGTTGGTATGATTCTCCAAGGAGCGAGCTCAACTCTGTGTCGAGACCCTTTCTAGCCTTGGCAATCTCATCGACAGCAATCTCGAAGCGGTTGTTGTGGATGTTGAGAATGGAGGCGAAGAAAGCGCGATCGGGCGACTGTTCCTTCATGACACCGAGATAGTTGTCCATGTCCGCAAACTTGCCCAGACCCCAGGCGGCCGTCGCAGCAAGCGGTGCTATCGCCTTACGATACTCCTGCGTCGCGTTGGCCCACTTCTCCTTTGATAAGCTGGAAAGCAGGTCCCACTCGCCCAGAGCGTGCAAGCAGCGCATCTTGCCCATAGTGACATCGAAAGAGTCGGGTTCTTCGAGCTCGCGCCTCTGATAGGCAGCAAGGGCTTCGTCCCATTTCTGCAGCTTCTCGAACCAAGTCTCTTTCAACTCTACATCCGCGTAGTTCTGCGCCTTGCGCAATATACCGAATGCTGCGTCGGTCTGTTGCAGCTGGTTGTTGATACTGATAAGGGCTTCCACAGCGCTGGAATTCTGTTCCGCGTTGAACTCGAGCTCCTTGTAGTGCAGTGCCTTGGCAAAAGCGTGGCACTTTCCAGCATACATACCCAGGATCCGCACATCGATCGGTAAGGCTTTGTCGTCGTGCTCCATGAACTCTGCCAAGTTGAGTAGGACTTGGAGAATCTCTGGCGGAATGTTGGGCGACGTGAGTGCTGTCTCTATAGACCGAACAAGCTCTTCTTGATACTGATCGTAGAGCTCAGTCCAGCATGAGACGAACGCCGAGTTGAACAGTGTGCGTGCGATCGGATTGTACACGCTACCCAGTGGTGTGCAGGCGCGTAGTGCCTGCTGTGGCGACTCTCGGAGAAGTTCAACACTGAACCTTCGCATCCATTCGATCCAGTCTTCCTTGGTGGTCTTGTTAGAAGCCTCCCAGGCCTGCTTGAGATGCTGCTGGTTGACCGCCAACTTCTTAGTGAGGATCTCCGCAGGGTTCAAGTCCTCATCGTCTTCGCCGTATCGCTCATCTGGGCTGAGATCTTGAGGTAGTGGCTCGCCTTTCTGCAGCTTTGATACGATACGTCCGTAGTTCTCATGGGGTACCTTGTGCGCGATGAGGATCTTGTTGACGGTCGGTACAAAGTGGATGTAGTCCGGACCAAGTTGGAAGATGAGTGCACAGAGCGTCTCGAGCGCAGTCTGCTTGAGGGTTGGCTCGTTACCGGAAAGCACTCGGCAGAGGGGATGCACGATACGCGCAGCGAACTCAGAGACGTTGACTTGTTTCGATAACCGTCCTAGTGTTTCGATGGCATGTCTCCGGATCTGGATGGGTTGGCCTGGCTTGTCGAACATAGTTACCATGACCGGAATGATGAGATGCATGTACTCTTCCGCACTGGAGCCGAAAATAAGGAAGGCATGTAGCACACGCTCTGATGGCAACCGCTTGCCAGTCTGGTCGGAATCAAGAACACTCAGCATGAGAGGTAGAACATCAGCCAGGTAGACCTTGAACTCGCCTTCCAGCGAGCGGGCGATAGCCTCGATCAAAGAAAGAATGGTAGCTTGTAGCTGCGGGCTGCTACTCCAGTACTCCTTGATCGTCGCAAGGATGCTAGGTAGGTATGGCCGGATGTGTTGGCGAACAATTCGAACAAGCTGGCTAAGCTGGTTGAAGTAGCCTTCCGATCGTCCAGCTGGCGTTGATCGGATGACGTGAAGGAAGCCAGGTACAACCTGGCTGAGGAAAGGAACACACTTCAATCCCATGGTCGCGTAAATGTTCATGACAGCTTCGACAATGGCAGTGTGGTACTGCACAAGAGACGGATCCTTAAGTAGTCCCATGAGCGTGCTGATGACAATTGTGGGGTAGTACTCCTCATTCGAGGGTGTTGTGCCTTGCATGATGAGCGAGACATCAGTGATAGCCTGCGCTTCCAGGATGAGGTGCTTGTCGGGTGACTGTTCCATGATCTTCTGGTACTCGTCCGGATCCAGGGCTCCAAGGGTACCCATGAGCCTAACAGTCTCCCTTCTGAGTTCACCTTCCGGTTCCGTCTTGACGATGCTCATCAGAATGTTCATCAGCTCTGGATATTCCCGGTACGGTTCAATGACATAGCCGGCATTTGTCGCCAACTGTCCGAGAGCTTTCAGAGCCGAGAATCGCTTAGCATCCGACGTCTGATCTTGCATAAAGTCTAGAATGACTGGCATAAGATCTTTGATGTACTTGATCATACCCTCGCCGCCGACTGTAGCGAGGTCGCCAATAGCCTTGAGCGTTGTTGAAGCAACCTCGGGGTTTGAGTCTTTGCACTTGGGCAGCAGAACCTCAACAATAGGATCTATCAGCGGTTTGATGAGGCTGTCCGCGGCACCGACTAGACTACTAATCAACTTGGCGCTCTCTTCCTTGCTGCGAGGGCTGTTGGCGTAGTTGACCTCAGTCAACAGCTGGAGTAGTACCTTGCGCAAAGAAGGGAAGACGTAGGCAGGATTGACCGCCGTCAGGCGACCAATGATGGACATGGCAGCCTCTCGAATAGCAAAGACCTCGTCGTTGAGAGCAAGGAATAGGGTGCGGACGTTGTCTGCCTTTCCAAGATGACGGTCGAAACGTGCATCCAGTGCCATGAGGACATCCCACCGAATGTCGGGTTCAACATCGCCTACGCCGACAGTCAAGAGCTTCTCGATGATGTCGCCCACCACCTTTGTCGCATGAGTACTAGTCTGGTGAACAATAGGATCCTTGACGAAGAGTTGACAGCACGTCAGGGCGGCGCGCTTCCGGATCTCAGCGTTATCGGCTTCAACGTAGCGGATGGCAACATCGCGGACGAACTCGTTCAGCACATGGCCTGTGAAGTCGAAACTACCGAGTGTGTGTAGTGCCAGCGCAATCTCTGCCTCCCGCTGAGGGATGATCGAAGGGTCCTTGTGGTCGCGTGTCCATATTTGCGGAGGTTGTGAGATCTGGAAGGGACTGCCGAGGGGGAGGAAGTGTCGTCCAGCAAGGATCTGGCTGAGAAGATCTAAGAGCTTTTCTTGGATCATAGGGCGTGATGGCGGTACGTAATGCGCCATGTCGACGAGAGCTTGAAAGAGTGCGTCGCTCAAGCCGCAGGAGAAGATGGGGTCCAGTAGCCGCTCAACAGACTTGGTGAGTGCCTGACCGACCGCTGCCGCAACCATACTGAGACACTGGAAGATTGGCGCTTCGTTGATGGCAGCCTTGTTACGAGCCTTAGCGATCAGACCTTCCTGTATGAAGCCTAGGATGCCCTCGAGGTATGGTGAGATGGCGACTCCGACCGCGTTTGCGATCTGTCCGATGGCGACGAATGCCTTGTCCCTGTCGCGGTCCTTCCTAATAAGACCCTGGAGATGTAGCATGCACTGGTGGAGGTACTTGGTCGCAAACTCGGTTGGCGAATAACCAGCGAGGATGGGTATGATGAGCACCACCTCCCTCCGTACGAGCGCGTCGCGATGCTCCCGGTACTTAAGTACATGCTCAACTGTCTCCTTGTACTTCTGGTCGTTCATGAACATGGCGCTCTTGTCGAGGAGCTCCTTCATGGTGAGGAGGGAACCGTGAATCGCTTCGTTCGTGTTGATAGTGAAGCCGCGTAGGATCTCGTCGTAGACTTTTCCGAACCAGAGCTGGCGCATCTGCGAGTCGCGCGGGGATATGATCTCGAAGCAGGCGCTGATGGCTTCGGCGGCGGACTCCCGGATGAGGACCTTTGGATCTCGTAGGGCGACCCAGATGACCTCGAAGATTTGCGCAATCCATTGGTACATGAGCGTGGGTGAGTTCTTCGCCAGTTCGCGCAGGATGAGGACAGCGGCGAAGCGTCTATTCTCCAGGCGCTCCAGCTGCAGCCACTCCAATGCGCCCTTGACCTCTGCTTCCACCAGCTCCGCCGTGAGTGTACCGCCGGGCTTCGCGAGTCGTCCCAGGGCCTTGGCCGCGACCACCATGGCTGTGATGTCCTGACCCCGCATTACCGCCCGAAGGTATGAGGCGAACCGCGTCGTCTTCTGGCCCGCATCGTCGCCGCGGAAGTCGATCAGGGCGTTGAGCGCGTGGATGCCGCCGATGCGTTCGTTCGAGTCGGTGCCGGTGACGATGAGGCCCGAGATCTTGGTGTAGACTTCATTGTTGAATGTGGTGAAGACGTTGGGCGCGAGTTCTGCACAACGTCAGTTTCCCACAGCTTGGGCGGGGTTCTTCGCGTTGTCTCTCACCTCGATGCGCCGATTCAACCTGCTGTCGCAGCGCGGTTGCTGCTCGCTGTCGCGTCTCGTCATTTCTTGATTTGTCAGCCGCCTGTCGCAATGGTTGTACTGTATGGAGCTCACTTTGACCGTAGGTCGTGGACTATGCGGTCCAGGTTGGCCGAAAGGGGACCCTGCTGCGACATCTTGACTGCTTCAACGGAAGCCTTTCGCAGCAAGAGTTTGTGGTCTCACTCCATCCATGAAAAGGAGCGAAAAGAGTGTTGTAGAGGGGCGCGTGGGGAGAATTGGTGTTGCCAAAGTTACTGGACGCTGCAGCCGTATGTCACGAACGCGGACTAGCGCATTGACCTCACGCGAGCCTCGGGAGCTAACCCAAAGCGCACACCGGGGATCCGCAACACCAGCCCGTGATTGGCAACCTTAGAACGGGGTGAGGATAACGGGTGAGTGTGGCCAGGCCTACTGCACGAGCGAGGTAAAAGACTGGATCAATCACCCACATGTCATCTATTCCACTTATCGTCGTAAAGGAAAAGTACCGGTGTCAGTGTTGTGCACACCATAGTCCAATGACAACCCAGTATTAGAGACACTTCCCGCTCAACATGATACACATCCATTCACCGCGCAGTATCACACTGAAAGAGTTCCATAACGTCAGGTAGTAGAAATTAGGTATCACACACTACGAAGCACACACATAGGCCGCCATCCATGGCCATTGTGCAGTCGTCCCCTCACCGCGACTTGTCTTAGCCAGCCAATACACCCTCTGCAACATGGCCAATGACTCCACCGATCTGTCCGAAGAATATCGACTTCAGGATAGTCTCACCCTCACCCACAGCCCACATACCCGCGTCACTCAGCTTCTCTTTCCATTGGTTCTTCTCTTCGTGGCTGAGCTCTTCCCACTTTCTCGCAGCGGCATGCTTCTTCAAGACATCCTCGTCTCCAGCGTGGACCTCTGTACTGAGTGTACCGTCAGATTCAGGGTCATGATGTATGACGAGCGCCTTTTGTTGACCTGAATGCTCGGATGGCTTGGTGTCAGAGAGAACGTGAGGGAGGTGGAGATGTAATAGATCAGCGATTCGATGTGATGTCTTAACCACCGGTGAGTCCGCATTGTTGAGGATGGCGTTGTGGCGTTTCTCGCGCAGTGTTTCGCCAAAAGTCTTGTGCTGGCTTGCTGCATTCTGCAGACTGGCGGGGAGTATGCCTTTGGTAAGGTTGCCCTCCGGATCTATGAGTGACTGGATCAGGAGAGCGGCCACTGCGACGACCATGGCGATAACGAGATAGGTTGCTGCTGTGAACATGTTTCTCGAACGCGCCGTCTGGAGGACATAGCGCGACCCGATGTCCTGTAATTGAAATGTTTCGACGCTGATCGTGTTTCCCAAAGACGTACTCGCCAGACGCAGATACTGGGGTGGCGCTTGACGACCAGCTGGTACTTCGGGCTTGTAGAACGGCGAGAAGACAGCCTTTGTCATTTGCACTTCGTGAACCTGCTTTTGTTAGCACTTGTTGAGCTCTTCTGATATCTTTACGCTTACGTTATCATAACTATTGAATGCGTGAAACGAGCTCAGCGAATCTCTGGCAGGTCCATGGTAATCGATCGTATACACCGTCAAGGATATGTCAATCGCAGCAATCGCAATCGCAATTTGATAGGCGCCATCCTTGTCTGCATCGAGCAAGCTGACGTCCATATCTGTAGCCGCCTTGACATGCTTGGGCATTGCTTTCCGTAGGACAACGCTTGCCGGACCTTCTTCGTAGAGATGAACGAGGAGCAACTCCACGCCGCTTCTGCTAGGCTTGTTCTTCAACAGTAGCAGATGTTTCGGCGAAAGCCACCGTACACATCGCAGCTTACTCCTCGCACCCTTCTCGACGTGTGGAATTGTGTAGAGCTTCCTGTGCTCGTTCTTTCCCTTGCTCTTCCTTGAATCAAAATCCCAGTTGACAGTCTGCACGAAGACTTCCGAATCGGTGACGTACGCTAGCTGATATTTCCCCTCTTCTTGTGTCCAAAAGTCCATGTCGTTAGCTTCCTGGCCATTATGTAAACTGATTCGCCCTATGACGTCCTGATTCGTAGGTCTCGTAGATGTAGCGGCAAAGATAACGACCTCGTTATCGTCTCCAAGACTTGATGCGATCGCTCCGATCCGTCTGCTGGGTGTATTCGAGGTCGATCGTTGTGGTTTCGAGAGTTTCACGATGCGTTGGTAGGCTTCCTTTCTTGCGGAACTCGATTGCGGTGCGGTGAAGAGCGTTGTCTTGCTGAGGTACTCGACGTTTCCATCTCTTTTCTCAGCACTATTCAGATACTTCAGCTCGAATGCCCTCAGATGTTCATTGTTGCCCTTTAGCCGGTCATCCTCACTGCTATTGTTTCCAGCGAACAAAATGAGGCCATCTTTCGTAGACAGGTTGTCCAAACACGTTATCGAGTCGTCCTTGCTCGCTTCGATTTCCGCGAATGGTTGTACGGTCGGCGCTCGTGAGGTGAAGTCGAATGCTGTGATTTGGTTTTTGACACCGGATCTTCCAGCCTGATATGAGAAGTGGTCAGCAGGCGTGTCAATCGCGTTTTGATACAGGGTCAGTACTCACACCCCCACCACCTGTATTCGAGTCAGTCTAGTAGGCGATGTCGGCATGAGGGTAACTTACCTCCTACAACGAGGACCCCAGGCCTGTTACTCGCAAATGTCGCAGCGAATATCGGATACCCCGTCCTCGCCTTGCTGACTGTCGGACGCGACATATCTAGTTTCTTGCGCGCGCAATCGTGTGCCGCACTAAACCACGCTTCCCAACCAGGCGTAGTCGCGGGAAAGGCAAAGGGTTGATCGGAGAGATAGTCGCGAGATCCAAGAGTCGCGTAGAGATGAGGAATTGTTTCGAGGTAGTACTAGGTGTTGTGTGAGTGAGGCTGCCGGCGCGTTGCTTGTTACCACGTTTCGGGTTGCGATAATCAAACAAGCGTCATAGGCGTAGTTCGTGGCTTATCGATAGCGCGCGCGCCGCGACTTTCCTTCGCGATCGACAGGGCGACAGCAACTCGCCAATCTGACGTACAGATCGTCTCGTGATGACCCAATCGCAATGACTTCGAGTGTTTTCTTTTTCTTTTCTGCGCGCTCGTCTCGTGATGATCCGATTGCAATGACTTTGAAAGGTACTTTGGGTGACTTCGAGTGTTACTTTGGGTAATCGTGTATGAGCTTCAGAGGAGGAAGAGAAAGAGGATGATAGATGAAGGAGTATCCCCGAAAAGGCGAGATTTTATACTCCGACCATCCCCAAGGCAGTAGCATCTCCGCCTAGAGCACATGATATCGAACTTGTGGTTCAGATGGTACTGTGATTGCTGTTACCTACCAAGACCGAAGACATTGCACCAGCCGAAAACTGGACGTTGGATACATCATCAACGTCGATTACGTGTTGTCGTCACGACTGCACATGACTTCAGGAAAATGTTTCGATGTCTATGCAGCCTACAAGGCAACAGCATTTCCGCCTCTGGCATATGATCCTTCAAACTCGTGATCGAGAAGGTACCGTAGATACCGTACCAAAACCGATACCATCGAGCCAGTGAAGACTTGCACAGTCCATAGACTGCAACGTGTTCACTTCCTCTCCTGAAAGGGAGGCTGCAGTTAAGCAATGGTCTCAGATCAAGGTAACGGATTTGCATAATGTGCTCCTATAAGAGGAAACAACTATCTAATGCGGCCTTTAGGCCTTTGCAACAACCCTCATCACGCATACATGATTATCATTCCAAAGCAATGGTGCCTCTCGTGGATATCGTCCTCCTCTTTTCATAACATTCGTACCAACCAAACCCAACGCCATAACTACACCACCCCACCACCTCGACTATCAGCCAACCACACCGGAACAAACCTCCGGATTCAAAACTTGTTCCTGAGAAAGAATCAAAACGCCAAAATGCTCGCTAAAAGAGGGGGTCCAGCTGCTCCGCAGGCCCACCTGACCGAAGAAGAAACTGAACAAGGTTGCAGACTACACTGGGGATAAAACATGCAAATTGAAAAATCTGGCCTCAATGTAGGCTCCACGGTGTTTAGTTTGCCCCTTCTTTGAACTGCCTCACAGCTCCTTCAACAGATAGCTTGTGGTGCCTCCTCCTTTCGATCTTGTATGTGCGCCGAATGGTGTTTGCCGGAACTCCAAGTAAGTGTTTGCCGTATTTTTGTACGTCATTCCAACATGGATGAGACAGCCTTGTGCAAACTTCCATGAGCCATGCTTCTCCAGCAACATCTGGGGCGATCTGTCCGATGGCGTTTCGAGCGACGTATGCTCGATCTTCCATTTCCTGGAGGATGAAGGCCATGCTATCGATGGAGCAACTCTACTGCTGCGGTAAGCCTGGCTGGCCGTTGGCGGCAGCTGCTTGAGCCTCGGCGTGGACTTGGGCGATAATATCGGCCTGGTGAACAGCACCCTGAACCACTTGTTGCTCCTCTGGGCTGAGGTTCTTGGTAAGATTCTCGTAAAGCGCGGGCTGCTCCTGTTGAAGACCTGAGTACAATCAGTATGGGCTCTTGCGTAATTTGATGAACAGAACTTACGGAGCAATGCGTGCTTGAACATGCCGTATGGCTCCACTTTGTCAAGCGGTGTCTCGAGGAGACTTTCCTCTTCAAGCTCGTCGTCGTCGTCATCGTCGAGCGAACTGAACTTTTGCGCCTGGTTTTGGTCAGCCTGCGACTTGAATATCAGAAATGGTGTTCTTACCTCCTCGTTAAGGAAGTCGAGGTAAGCGGCACTCTCATCCTTGACATCCTCAGTCTCGTCCGCCTCGTTGTTCCAGTCGGCTTCTTGTTCCCACTCCTCGTCTTCCTCTTCTTCGAATTCGGCTGAGTAATCAAAGGTGTCTTCCTTCTTGGCTTCTTCGCGGTCTGTGCATTTGTTAGTCATCGCGGGTGAGATGCAACAAAATGCAAACTCACTTTTCAAAGCTGCGGGGAGAGTTTGGAACAACCGGGTAACTCCTTGCAACAGACGTGGCCAGCCTTGCTGTACGCTGACAGGAACGTTCTGAGCTGACAGGGTGAGGAGGGAGCAGATTGCGGAGATGCACAGCTTCTTGTCGTGAACTCGGGTGAAGTTATCGATGCTCGAG